AAAGAAGGGAAAGAAAGGAATAGTCAAAGAGAGGAAGGAGGACAGGATTGGAGGAGGGGGAGGGGGAGGGGGAGGTAGGCTGGGATAATAAACTTACAACTGCAACGTTCAAGGTTTTCAGGAGGGGGAGGGGTGGAGGGAGGGGTAAAAGGGGGGAGGGGGTAGGCAAAATAGCTCAGTGCTTCTCTTGTTTGTCGTAGAGGAGGTCACGCACCTTACATTACCGTGAGACGAATTGCTACTGGTCTAATGAAAACGTGACACTGCATGCGGAGTGCTGGAAGTTGCTACTGTTTTGCCTTTTGTGCCTCTCATTTTCAGAGGATGTGACGGAGGAAGGGAGTTGGGGACGGGGGGGAGGGGGGGGCGGGGAAAGTCTCGTTTCCCTCTCAAGAGCCATTTTTCTATGACGTCATCACCCATTCAGAGCAGCCAAAACACGATGGCGTCAGTGAAACGACGTGGCACGCTGACGTCACAGAAACAACTTTCCCTCCCCGTCCGTCCGCCCGTCTTGGATTCCGAAACTATGCGGCCGCAAAAACAAAAGCCCTCGCCCCTTCGCCAGCTTTACGGCAACAAGAACACGAGTGAGAAACAAAGCAACAAAAAAGCAAGAACAACAAGAACTGTATAATAGCGCGAGGCAAGCGGAGCGCGCCGCCGCGCTGCCGCGTCCCCACCTGGCCACGAGCTGGAGTCACCGAGGCATTACGGCCGAGGTTACGTCTATATTTAGCCGTCGGGAGGAGGAAGAGGAGGAGGAGGGGGTAGGAGGAAGAGGAAAAAGGAAAGAAGGAAACGAAGATTAAGGAATGTTAAAAGGAAGAGAGCAGGGGAGGCGCAGGAGGAGGAAGGGGCGGACCGAGAATCTCGCTCCGAAGCGATGACCGCGACGGAGGCGACAGACGCAGAACCGCCTGACCAGCCAACCTGCCGTCGCCGCCTGCTGCCTCTTGCTACCTCCTGCTGCAGCAGCTGCCGCTACCTGTGCTGCTCGCCGCCAGCTGACCAACCACAGCGTTCCTCCGCCGCCTTCGCCAGCGTTCTCGGGGCCTCTGGAAAACCCGCGCGGGAGCGAGGAGAGCGTCCTGCGTCGTCCGTACGTGACTCGCAGCCCTCGCTGTCACACGTCGCTGGCGCGTGTGGGCCAGAGGGCCGCCAGACGGGAGTTCAGGGGCGGAGGGACGCGGGGGGGGGGGGGGGGGCTGGGTAGGCGGAGGCAAGAGGAGAAGGGGGAAGCGCGAAGGAGTTGTCGCGTAACGGAGGTTTTGCAAGGCTTTAAAGCGATGTTAAGACTGACTCGCGGAATTTCTAAGAAGCTTTTGGAGCGGCCTCGGGGAGGTTAAGGACTCCAGGAGGGAAGGAGGAACAGAGGGAGGGGGAAGGGGGCCACTCCGGCGGGGATGTCGTAAAAGTGAGAGAGGGAGGGAGAGGGAAAGAGAGGCACACACAGAGAGAATGGAAAGCAAGGCACAGGCAGACAGACAGACGGAGAAAGACGGGGAGAAACGCGATGCAGAGAAGACAGACGAAGAGACAAAGGAGATAAAAGGGAAAAGAACGACGGGAAAGGGTGGCATCGCCTAATCGTTCCCCAAGGCGTGGGCAGTCACGGCGCTGCACGGCTCGAGACAGCGCGAAAATAAACAGGTTTGGGGGCGTCGCGGAGGCCGAACACCCTGCAGGTTCTGGTCGTCTGGTCGTCGCCGTGGTTCAGAAGGTGGTCGTTCCGGATAATCACTTGGTGTAGAGCGATGGACACTGGGAGGGAGTCGCTTTTTTTCAACGCCTGGTGTGAAATTTACCTTCCGTTTGATCCTTCACGGGCTTCTGAAGAGAGAGGGAGAAAGAGAGAAGGGGGGAGAAGGTAGAGAGAGAGGAGAGAGACAGATAGATAGAGAGAGAGAGAGAGAGAGAGAGAGAGAGAGAGAGAGAGAGAGAGAGAGACCGCCTGTCCTTTCATTCTTATCGATTTATATAATAATCATTATTACTCATCAAAGCTACCCCTTTAACCCCTCCTCCTCCTCCCCCCCCCCCCCCTCCACCCCGCCCTCGCATCCTCCGAGAACTAGAAAGCCGAAAGCCCCTCCTCCTCCTCCTCCTCCAACCCTCCCCCCCCTCCCCCCACCTCCCGAGCGATTGGAAGCCCGCCCCAGGAACCGCAAGGACGAGGCTCGGCGAGAGGTGTTCCGAAACGGCTTCGCTTCACCTCCGGCCAGACAGACAACCCTTCTATGCCCCTCGAGAGAGAGAGAGAGAGAGAGAGAGAGAGAGAGAGAGAGAGAGAGAGAGAGAGAGAGAGAGAGAGAGAGAGAGAGAGAGAGAGAGAGAGACATTAAAGGCCCCGCAGACCACCAACCTTGATGCGTGTGTGCGTGCGTCGGTGGCCCAGACCCGTCCAGACCAGACTAAGGTACCTTGGACGACCAGGAGTGACCTTAGTGGCATGTCCCCATAGGCGGGGGCTACCGGGCTGGTCAGTCGGTGTGTCGGCGTGTTTGGAAATTTCAAAGATTGGGAAGAAAAAGAGAGAGAGAAAAAAAATAACGGTGGGACCGGAAGAGGCCTCCAGTTCGAGACGATTTCGACTTCCTTGTCTCTTCTCTCTTTTTTTCTTTTTCTTTTTTTAAAACTATTTTTTGGGATGATCTTTTATCGAATCGCCCGTGAGATCCCCCGACCCTTCGTTGCACTATATGCCACCCGATTTTCCCGTCCTCGATTTCGTAAAGGCGCGCGCCGTAATAGCGGGGTTGGCCTCGGCATACCTAGCTCAAGGCACCCCACGTCGCCGCTGCCGGGCGTACGACCACCACGAGCGGGCGCCACAACAAAACACGCCCCCCCCCCCCCTATATCGCCTCTCCTATCTCCCCTTCGTCCTTTTCCAGATTTCCTCTTCCCGTCTCCTTTCATTCTTCGTATTCTCGTATGCCTTCTTGTCCCTCTCGCTTTCGCATCTCGCTTCCCTCTTCCTGTCCCTTTCATCTCAGATTCACTTCTTTCACTTCTTCCTTTCCCCTCACTCCTTCGTTTCCCCTCTTTTCGCATTTCCTCTCACCCTCCCTCTTTCTCCTCTCCTTTCTTTTTGCTTTTCCTCTCACCCTCCTTCTCCCTCCCTCTTTCTCGTCTCCCCCTCCATTCCCCCCATCCGGCAACGATACGCCGATACGACTTATCTGTCGGGAGTCGTAAAACGGCCGACGCTCGCGTGACCCAGAGAGAGAGCGAGAGCGAGAGAGAGAGAGAGAGAGAGAGAGAGAGAGAGAGAGAGAGAGAGAGAGAGAGAGAGAGAGAGAGAGAGAGAGAGAGAGAGGGGGGGGGGGGGAACTAACGGACATCACTCCCGTTCGTATGTGTACTCACGCATTCGTGTATGCGTGCGTGTCTGTATGTGTTCGTGCGTGCGTACGTGCGTGAGCCGAAAACCTCATGACGCAATAGCCCGCTCTTCTCTCCCGTCGGCGGCCCGAGCAGGTGCGCCAACCGCCGCCGCTGCGCCTTCCCCTTCTGCTGCCCTACATTCTCGCATGCACCTGCCCTGGCCTCCTCCCTGCCGTGCCCGTGTCTTCCTGGCGACGCGGTGCCAAAGTAAGGGAGAGGGAGAGGGAAGAAGGGAGAAGGAGAAGGGAGTTACGGAAGAGGGAGGGATGGAGAAGAGAGAGAGAGAGAGAGAGAGAGAGAGAGAGAGAGAGAGAGAGAGAGAGAGAGAGAGAGAGAAAGTGAGAGAAAGAGAGAGAGGAAAACACAGCCACGCCGCCAGACGACTTTGTACCGGAACTGGGACTTGGGCAGAAACTCTCCCACTTTCTCTTTCGAAGGGAAAGGCCTGGCTCGGGAAGAGAACCTGGCGGCGGTAGCAACTAACCGGATTGTTTTTGTTTTTGTGTTTTGGTGTTTTTGCGCGGGTGTTCGTACTCGTGTCGTCTCGGTGAAGTGTGTTTCCATTCGTATTAATACTTGGCCTGTTTGTATGAAAATGACGAATGAGAGACAGAGAGAGAGAGAAGAGGGAGTGAGAGAGAGAGTAGGGAGTGAAAGGGAAAAAAACAATGAGAGAGAGAGAGAGAGAGAGAGAGAGAGAGAGAGAGGGAGAGAGAGAGAGAGAGAGAGAGAGAGAGAGAGAGAGAGAGAGAGAGAGAAGAGAGAGAGAGAGAGAGAGAGAGAGAAAGAGAGAGAGAAAGAGAGAGCGAGAGAAGGAGAGACTGACAACTGCAAAAATATGAATGAGAGATAAACAGAAAAAGCGAGAGAAAATTTCTTGGAGGCCAACACAGCTAAGAGGAAGTGACATTGCCTCATCACCATCATCATCATCTCCGTCACAGACACCATCGCCGTCACCATCTCCTTCGATCCTTGAGGAATCGGGAGTCATATCCTGGTTGAGTTTGAAGTTCAAGATCGCCATCTTCCCCCCCCCTCCCCCCTCCGCTCCCCCACCTCACCTTTCCTGCTCCCCCCTCCCCCCCCTCTCTCACTCTCTACACCGGAAGTTGTTCCGTTCTCGTC